AATGTATTTCACATTCATAGATATTCGTTTTACTCACTCTATCATTTCTTAGGCCTGACCAAGAATAAACTGTGTTCCTTTTTTCCTGTGTAAAATTTACAATCTTACATCACAACCAATTGCATTTCATTGGCGTTGTATTAACACACCTTTATGAAGAGGAGAGAGAATAAGAATAGCAGCCCGGGTGGCTCACACCTGCAATCCTAGCACTCTAGGAGGCCAAGGAGGGTGGACTGCTTGAGCTCAAGAGTTGGAGAACAGCCTGAGCAAGAATGAGATTCCATCTCTAAAAATAGCTGAGCATTGTGGTGGGGGGCCTATAGTCCCAGCCACTTGGAGGCTCAGGCAAGAGGATTGCTTGAGCCAGAGAGTTTGAGGTTGCTGTGAGCTATGATGCCACAGCACTCTACTCAGGGTGACAAAGTGAGACATCATCTCAAAAAAAAAAAAAAAGAATAGCAGATATTCCTTTATAGCCAACATTGGAAAAAAGCAAACTGAGGGAGAAAATATCTCACCATGGAGAGCAAAGGGGTTGGGAGATTCCAGGGCAAACACAGAAATGAGAGGGGAGAGACGGTGGCTACTTTTATGTAATGAGGCTTTTTGCCTCTTCACGCAGCGTGGTGACTAAGGACACTCACATAGCAATGCCTTTTAGCTACATCTCCACTGAGAGAAAATACAGGGACAATAAGAAATACTGGGGTGACCATTGTTCCTCTTTCTTTTAGCCCCTTCTTGATCTACAGTGCTAGGGTTTAAAGCAAAGAGAAAATACTCCCTGTCAAGAAAAGAACCTTCTTCCCGTCCTTTGTGCAACCACCTAATAACAATGTGAGCATTTGAAAATCTATCACATTATGACATGCGCGTCATGCCTTCTCATGCCATCCTCACCTGCAGACAGTGAGCCACAGCGGCCCTGAGCTCCCCCAGGACGGCCCCAATCACAGCACCATGGAGGGTTCGCTGTGGTCTTTAATGAAGATGCTGCTAACTAGAGTGTCCACTCAGCTACCCTGGACTGACCTCCGGGTTAAAACACAGGGTGCTACTAACTTTCCACTTCTCCTGCAGCTGAGGCAGTCATTAGAAAATGCCCCAAGCATGAGGTTTTAGGTATCTTCAGGAAAGTTCCAGGGTTTAACAAATCACCCCTGTCAAGCTGGAATGTGGGCCCGCTGGTCCGCCTGTTCCCTGTCATTCCTGATTTCAAGTTTTTCCAGCCTCCAGCAATATTGGGGTATCCAGGAAGGGGCTCTGGAGTCAGAAAGACCTACACTCAAATTCAGGTCCTGCTGGCTAGGTGTGGTGGCTCACGCCTCTATCTCCAGCACTTTGGGAGGGTGAGGCAGGAGGATCTCTTGAAGCCAGAAGTTCAAGACTAGCCTAGGTAATGTAGCAAGATCCCCTCACTATAAAAAATTTAGAAAATTAGCCAGGAGAGGTGGCACATGACTATAGTCCCAGCTACTTGGGAAACTGAGGCAGGAGAATCACTTGAACCTAGGAATTCGAGCTCACAGAAAGCTAGGATGCAGCCTGGGCAATAGAGTAAGAAGGAAGGAAGGAAGGGAAGGAGGGAGGGAGGAAGGGAAGGAGGGAGGGAGGGAGGGAGGG